GCTGAGTCAACCCTGAGCCGGCGAGATTTGAACCGCCGAACTGCAGCTAACAGTCAGCTGAAGTGGCCTGCAGTACTGCACTCTATCCACTGCACCACCTCGGCTCTTCCGAGCAAGAACAGAATAACAGAGCTGGAAGGGAACTTGGAGGTTTCTAGTCTGACCCCCTGCTTAGGCAGGAAGCCCTACACCATTTCAGACAAATAGCTGTCCTGTCTCTGCTTAAAAACCTCCAGTGTTGGAGAACCCACAACTTCTGAAAGCAAACTGTTCCACTGGTTAATTGTCCTCACTGTTAGGAAATTTCCCCTTTAATTCCAGGTTGCTTCTCTCCTTAATTAGTTTCCATTTATTGTTTCTTGTCTGGCCATTCAGTGTTTTGAAGAATAGGTTGACCTCCCTTCCTCTTTGGGGCAGCCCCTCAAATATTGGAAGGCTGCCGTCCTGTCTCCCCTGGTCCTTCTCTTCCCTAGACCAGCCATGCCCAGTTCCTGCAACCGTTCATCGTATGTTTCAGCCTCCAGTCCCCTCATCCTCCTGGTTGCTCTTCTCTGCACCCTTTCTAGAGCCTCAACGTCTTTTCTGTATTGTGGTGACCAAAACTGAATGCAATTTTCCAAGAATAGCAAAAAACCCACAGAGAACTATTTTTATACAACTCTGCCCACTTAAAACGCCTGGAACACCTATTACGTCTCCTCCCGTTCTTTCACTGAGCTCCTTGAATTTTAGTACTAGAGTCTGCAGATCCTTGTATTGTCAGCTATCAGATTAATTTTATTAGCATAGGACAGGTTATCAATGTTTCTTGATAGAGCCGTGGTGGTGCAGAGGTTTGAATGCAGCATTGCAGGCTAATTCTGACCACTGCCAGGAGTTCGATCCTGACCGGCTCGAGGTTGACTCAGCCTTCCCTCCTTCCGAGGTGGGTCAAAAGAGGACCCAGATTGTTGGAGGCAAGAGGCTGGGCTCTGTAAACCCCTTAGAGAAGGCTGTAAAGCACTGGGAAGCGGTATATAAGTCTAAGGGCTATTGCTTGTTATTGCAGGCTAACTCTGCCCACTGCCAGGAGTTCAATCCTGACCAACTAAGGTTGACTCAGCCTTCCGAGGTGGGTAAAATGAGGACCCGGATTGTTGGGGAAAAGAGGCTGACTCTGTAAACCCCTTAGAGAAGGCTGGAAAGCACTGTTTGAGTTTGAGTTTATTAGGACTTGTATGCCGTCCACTCTCGAAAGACTCAGGGCGGCTTACAGAAAAAGAAGGGAGGGGAACATATAAAAATTAAAAAGTACAAACGTTTAAAATCACACAACATTTATAACATAAAATGGGGCAGGGGTTGGCAAACTTAAACACTCAAAGAGCCATTTGGACCTGTTTCCCACAGAAAAGAAAACACCGGGAGCTAACCGGAAGCCCCCTGTTCAATTCTGGAGCTGACCAGAAGTTTCCCCACCATAGAGTCTCCTCCTAGTGCGGCATACTTTTTCCTCTACCTGTCATAACCGAAAGCCCTATCAATTTTAGAGACGACTGGAAAATCCTCCCCTTGCCATAAAGTCTTCTCCTGGCGAATTGTGCTTCTTCCCCCCACCCACCCACCAGAAGCTCCTCTCAAATTTGTGGCACCGACCGGTGATGGAGCCACACCAGAGGGAGGAAAGAGCCACATGCAGCTCCAGAGCCGCAGTTTGCTGACCCCTGGCCTCAGGTTATTCTGCATTCTATTTCAGAAACAGAATTGCCCTTATGAACAATTCTGGATCCAAGGAAGATAAATTCTTGAACTAACTCCATTTCCTCATTGATTTTAAACATCTCATGTCCATCTGCAGTTGTTGCCATTATTTTTATTTTCCTGATATTAAGGCTCAATTCTACTTTTTCATTTTCATCCCTGATTTTTCA